TGGAGCGCGTGCATTTATTGCATTTATTTGTCATTTGAACTGTTTGGAAACGGGGCGTAAATGTGGAAGTCCTTCAAAGCCTGTTGCGCTATCCTGTTGCGCCCTCTATAGGACCAGCGACTAGTCGACGTCAAGCTTAAAGCGTCATGGCAGAGCATTGAAGTCGACTAGTCGATTAGTCGGTGCAACCCCTAGTACACATTGTCAACATCGTATTGTGTTGATTCCCAAAACCATTGTACCGGAACCAAAACAAAATTTTGGGGGAAAATTTTTTTTTTAAATTCTGTTATTACTTCCTAGGGTGAGCCAGGTGACCGTGGACCAATGGGAGAAGCCGGAGAAAGGGGTGAGATTGGTGACTCTGGCCCACTAGGACCTCCTGGAAATCCTGGGGAAAAAGGCTTCCCGGTGAGTCACGAAAGAGTGACGGAATGAATCTAATGTAATAGGGAAGTCGTGGCCTAATGGTTAGAGAGTCGGACTTGTAACCCAAAGGTTGCGGGTTCGAGTCTCGTACCGGCAGGGATTGTAGGTGGGGGGAGTGTTAAATGGCTGCCCACTGCTCCGGGTGTGTGTTCACTGCTGTGTGTGTGCACTTTGGATGGGTTAAATGCAGAGCACTAATTCCAAGTATGAGTCACCATACTTGGCCACATGTCATGTCACTTAATGCATTTGTGCCATTTAGTTGTGTGTAATGGACAAAATCTCTCCAAACAGCTCTTTACATAATGCAAGTGTATTTTGTCTGAAATTTGTACTGACAATGTGAAGTTAAAGCATTCGTTTCTTCATCAGGGACCTGAGGGCAAACAAGGTCTGCCCGGCAACCGTGGACGTCCAGGAAAGAAGGTAACCAAAATTTGTGAATCAAAAACAATTATGGCAACTAAATTGAATTAAATTGCATTAAAACAATATATGGGACCATTTCATTTTAATAGCACAAGGGTGGAAACAGAAGTCTTTACAATCTGCAGTATTGTGTCAGAAATAAAACGGACCTAGAATAGAGCCCTGTGGTATTCTTCTTCGCCTTGGCTTGTTTGGGACACATTCTGCTCTGTATTTTCACAATACAGTCACATTTTTCTTGTCATTCTCGCTTGTAAACAATTTAAACCAGTCCTGCCCTTTGATATTTCCATCTTCCTTTTTGGTAGGGTGAAAAAGGGTTGCCGGGTCACTTGGGAGAGATGGGCTCACCTGGCGAAATCGGACAGACAGGGGAGAGAGGACTCAAAGGTGCTCGTGGAACCAGAGGACCCGCAGTTAGTGTGCTTTCTCTTTTAACGCATCCCTTCACTCTTTCTAATGTTGAGAAATGGCTGTGCAAATCCCAAAGACGATTAAGCAGTAACTTCACCATCACCATCACAAAGCGACTGCAATAGCAGTGCCAAACGAAACAGTCCGAATGAGAGAAATGGATGCACTGAATTTGTTAACAAGGAGAAATTCGGGCCTATTCTGAAGCTTGAACCCACAACCTCAACATTATGCTGCTACATATGATTGCACCACTAGGGGAGCCCTAGATAGTAATGTATTATGTGAATAATTGTTGCCTTTTTGCTACACAACTACAGTACAAATGTGTGATTGGTTCAGACATGTTAGTGGATAGTTTTGTTAGTAAAAGTAATTAGGTATTTAAAAAATGAACTATTGTTTCTGTATGAGCTGACAAGAGCGTGATAATTTGCTAACATGCTGAGAACGAATTTTACCCTCAAACTCACTGCTTTTACTGGCTCAGTTAAGGCATGTGTAAACATTAGCGGGATTTGGAATTGAACCAAAGCATTTTGATGGGATTTACACTAATGCCATTAGAGATACTAGGGACTAATCCGCTTTTCTTGTACAATGCAGTTAAGCGCCTACTGATTTGGTAGTTTTAGGCTGGATTTTATAAACAGAGAAAATGTCTGGGATTGCTATTTTTTTTGCCCCTGCTTTTCCCTCAGGATTTAACGGCATCGATGAAATGTAAAAACAAGTGTAGTTAGGGAAACTTAGCGTCTTGTTTTCATAAGCAAATGGTTTTCCAAGAAGCCATAATGGGATGAGCAGCAGGAGTCATTTTTTAAGACTCCATCCAATAATGTGTTTTTCAGCACAGGAAACTCAGGTTATTTTTAGAAGGTTATTTGTTGAGGTACGACGAGTACACTACAAAACACAAGCTAACTTACGTGTGTGTGTTTTTTGTTCATTACATTTCAGGGTCGACCAGGAGTTATGGGACCTCAGGGAGAGCCGGGACTTCAAGGTTACACAGTGAGTTTCATGCATACAAATATATGCACTTATGAATGCTTACAAAATCACACTCACATTTGCAGAAAGTTTTGAAAGTTAAAGTTTGAAAGTTTTGAGATTCCGATTATTCAACCTAGCTGGTCTATAGCTATTCACAAAATAATATTATTTTGGATTAGACAAGGAAATTATCTATTTTTTTATCTTTCTTCTCTATTTTCTTTAACCATAGGGTCACACTGGCAAGCCAGGTCCAGCAGGCCCCCCGGGACCAAAGGGAGAAAAGGTTATACAACATATTTTGATCTTTAAATGACAATCTCAGTCTAAATGTCATATATGTGTTAAATTATTATGCAATGTATGCAAATATGTGAAAAAGAGTGAAAGAATAGTGTTAGATTCCGAGTTTGACTGATTTTTCAGGGTTATCCAGGAGAAGACAGTAAAACGGAAGGACCACCAGGGCCCTTAGGTGAACCAGTAGGTCTTAATTTCCTTTAACTTCCTGTTTTTGTCCAACACCTTGACTGACATCACTTAATTGAAGAAGTAAGACAACATATCAATGTTTGTGTGCATATAGGGCTCTTCAGGAGAGAAAGGAGAACGTGGGGAACCAGGAGATGATGGATATCAGGTTAGTCTCTCTGTAAGGAGGAATTTCATGCTTTGTAAAAATCATTCCTCTTCACTAACTAGCTTAACTACCACTCAGAACACCTCATAAACTGCACAGCAACACCCTAGCAACGACACAGCAACATAATCAAAAACTGCATAGCAAAACCTTAGCAAACACACAGCATCATGATCAGAAACTGCATAGCAACACCCTAGAAACCACATAGCAACATGATAAAAAACCACTCGGAACACCTCAGAAACTGCGTAGCAACACCTTGGCAACCACACAGCAACATGATGAGAAACAGCATGACAACAACCTAGCAACCACAGCAACATGATAAAAACCACTCAGAACACCCCAGAAATTGCATAGCAACACACTAACAACCACAAAGCAACATGATAAAATTCACTCGGAACACTTCAGAAATTGCATAGCGACACCCCAGCAACCACAAAGCAACATGATCAAAAACTGCATAGCAACACCCTAGCAACCACTCAGCAACATGGAAACTGCATAGCAACACCCTAGCAATTCCACGCATAGCAAAACCTTAGCAAACACACAGCAACATGATCAGAAACTGCATAGCAACACCCTAGAAACCACATAGCAACATGATAAAAAACCACTCGGAACACCTCAGAAACTGCGTAGCAACACCTTGGCAACCACACAGCAACATGATGAGAAACAGCATGACAACAACCTAGCAACCACAGCAACATGATAAAAACCACTCAGAACACCCCAGAAATTGCATAGCAACACACTAACAACCACAAAGCAACATGATAAAATTCACTCGGAACACTTCAGAAACTGCATAGCGACACCCCAGCAACCACAAAGCAACATGATCAAAAACTGCATAGCAACACCCTAGCAACCATTCAGCAACATGATAAAACCACTCAAGCACCTTGGAAACTGCATAGCAACACCCTAGCAATTCCACTGCAACATGATCAGAAACTGCATAGCAACACCCTAGCAACCACTCAGCAACATGGAAACTGCATAGCAACACCCTAGCAATTCCACTGCAACATGATCAGAAACTGCATAGCAACACCCTAGCAACCACATAGCAACATGATAAAAACCACTCGGAACACCTCAGAAACTGCGTAGCAACACTCTAGCAACCACACAGCAACATGATGAGAAACTGCATAGCAACACCCTAGCAACCACAGCAACATGATAAAAATGACTCAGAGCACCCCAGAAACTGCATAGCAACACACTAACAACCACACAGCATCATGATATAATTCACTCGGAACACTTCAGAAACTGCATAGCAACACCCTAGCAACATGATCAGAAACTGCATAGCAACACCCTAGCAACCACAAAGCAACATGTTTAGAAACTGCATAGCAACACCCTAGCAACCACTCAGCAACATGATAAAACCACTCAAGCACCTTGGAAACTGCATAGCAACACCCTAGCAACTCCACAGCAACATGATCAGAAACTGCATAGCAACACCCTAGCAACCACAAAGCAACATGTTTAGAAACTGCATAGCAACACCCTAGCAACCACTCAGCAACATGATAAAACCACTCAAGCACCTTGGAAACTGCATAGCAACACCCTAGCAACTCCACAGCAACACGATCAGAAACTTCATAGCAGCCACAAAGCAACATGATTAGAAACTCCATAGCAACAACCTAGCCAACCACTCAGCAACATGATAAAACCACTCAAGCACCTTGGAAACTGCATAGCAACACCCTAGCAACACGATCAGAAACTTCATAGCAACCACAAAGCAACATGATTAGAAACTCCATAGCAACAACCTAGCAACCACTCAGCACCTTGGAAACTGCATAGCAACACCCTAGCAACTCCACAGCAACATGATGAGAAACTGCATAGCAACACTGTAGCAACCACATAGCAACATGATAAAAAATACTCGAAATACCTTAGCAACAGCATAACAGCGTCTTTTCTGAGCACTGGAGACTCCGGTTACGTTCTTTTGCTGATTGTTTTTAAGATGTTTTCTGTGATCTAGATTGAACTGTTCTGGATCCTGCAGCACTGTAGGCCTGTTTTCATCACAAACAGTCGACACTCACATTCATATTTGTTATGTCAACGCTGCAGTAATGTGTGTGTGTGTGTGTGTTTTAGGGTCACGTAGGGGTCACAGGCACCCGTGGAGCGATTGGTCAGCAGGGATCTCCTGTAAGTCTGATGTTTGACCAACACTGCAGCTCTGATCCAAAACTGCTGCTGTCTACCTACATAGACAGCAACCAGTGCATCATGCAAGTAGTGCACTGGAAATTCATCTGACAACAGAGTTCGACCTTAGCATGTTGTATGTGTTTGATGCATGTCTTTGCATCAGAAGTTACACCCTATGATGCCTAAAAATGCTGTCTAGGTAGGGGCTCACAAGGATTTGGAGCAGAGCTTTTTGTTGCATAACTTTTCCAATTAAGTTACCGGAAAATTTGATGTACCTAAGCCAATGTTTGCAGTTTTTTTCTCTGGTTAATTTTGGACTCTGGCCACACGTCTCTGGGCCAGAGGAACGTCACACTGAAGTGTCTGCTTGCATAATGAAATTAAAATACAATCTTTTAATTTTTCCCCCACCCCAGGGATCTCCTGGGCTTCCTGGTGAAGCAGGACCCAAGGGCGAGAAGGGAGTTCAGGTTTGTGTGTGTATAAGTGTTAGCATACTATTTCTGCAATAGGTAGTACATGTACATTACATTTAGTCATTTAGCAGACGCTTGTTTGACAAATGAGGACAATGGAAGCAATCAAAATCAACAAGAGAGCAATGATATGCAAGTGCTATAACAAGTGTCAGTTAGCTTAACGCAGTACACGTAGCAAGGTTTTTTGTTTTTTTTTATACTGTGTGCAGTTTGTCATTTTTCTGTATTTTTCTGGATGAGCTGATACAGGTTTATTATAGTTAAAACTAAAATTATACCATTAAAAAAAAAAAAAATTTTGTTACTTGAAATTAAATAAACAAACTGAATTATATTTTCTGTGTCCATTTTAATTTTAGTTCAAGTTTTAGTAATTTCGTTGTGTGTTTTTGTTATTTTTATATATTACTGTATTGTTTTTATAAAATTTTATAATTTGTTATTTTAGTATATCACATTACACTAAATAAAAAATGAGAAATGTTGGCTTGGCAACTAGCTAAAATAAAATAAGTTCGAGGGCTATTTTAAATATCAAATTTTATTTCAGTCAAATTTTATTTTGAATAAAAATATTTTTATGGTTTTAGTTTTATTTGACTGTAATAATCCTGGTATGATGTTGTTTCTCTTCAGTTTTCAGTGTTTGTAATATCAACTGCAATTGTTAATTTTTCTTGACTCGTTATTTTGGCAATCTGCCAGAAGTAAACACATCTTTACCCTTAAATTGCGCTAAAATGCAAAATAGCACTATATATTTTCGAGAAGAATTAAGGATGCAATGTAGCGAGGTCATGTGACAACAACGTAGCATTTTTTACATTTGAAATCTTTTCATAGTGCATGCTGTTTCACATAGTTAAAAAAAATAGTATAAAGCAATTAAATTCAGTAAGCAGTATTCTAATGTTTTATAAATCTAAAAATGGCAAAAGTTTAGGGTCAGACTGGAGCAAACAAATAGTTTTATTTAAAAACAACAGAAGTCAATGGCAGGTCGCCTCTGTAGTAGGGCTGCACAATTAATCGAATTTCTGATCGCGATTACGGATGCCACAATTACGTAATCGGTCAAAACGGCAATTAATCGTTCAAAGTCCACTTATGTTATTCTGCATGCTTAAGATATGTTTTTTTTTTCTTTCTACGTTCTTCTCTTTCTACAAGTTTTCTTAATGTTATCTTTCCATTGTTTTAATTTTAGTGTTAGTAAAACATTATAATATCATGCATATTTTAACTTTTTTCTTATTTAAAGAAGAAACCAATCCAATGTATAGTTGACATTTGAGGTTTAATACTATAGAAAAGCAATAAAGGTTTTTCAGTTAGAGTGTTTTCAGCTTGTTTATTTTCATTTAAAAATATGGCATGCGGTTGCTTCAAACAATGTTATAAACATCATTCAATGTCAAATGTGATAATCGTAATTAATAATCGCAATTACAATTTCAAGGGAATAATCGACAACTATGATTTTTGTCATAATCGTGCAGTCCTATTTCACAGTCAACTTTTTGGCTTTTTGGCTGGGTTTAAAGGAAAGGAGCACTTTTAGATAAACAAGGCAATCGTGGAGGCAAGAAAAAGTTATTTATGAACCGCAGGATTGCTTGTAATAAAAATGTAAATGCAAAAGAAAAGGCAGTAGAGCTGACTGTTTCTGTCAGTGGTAAGTTTTAATTTAGAATGTTTGTGATAACGTAAGAAAAGTAGTTTCAATGTTTTGCCACTTAACATATCAATCTAGAATGCAAAAGTAAAAAGCATTCAATAATGTGTTTCTTATATTTATTGCGTTTAAACACGTCTATGAAAGATTGTATTACTGT